CCTGCCCCCCGGCCGGGCTCCGTCTCACACCGGCGGCACGGGGAGCATCGGCCGGCACGGCATCCGCGCGCCGGTGGTGCCGGTTGGCGGTGGCGGTGTAGTGTTTCGGAGCATAGGCAGCATAGGGCATAGGAGCTTGGCTCATCGCGCCTCCTGCGCCGCCTGCCCCCCGCGCGCGCGCCGGACAAATCGGGGACTAAGCTAACGTCGCACCGCGGGCCGCGTCGCGCCGGGGACACACAATCGAAGCGGACGGGCCGAACGCGTCGAGCCGAACAGCTGACGCGCGGGCCGAACGCCCCCATCCATCACACCCCGCCCGGGCGCGCCGCGCCACCGCGCCCCGTCGAGTCAACGAAAAACAAATTTACGACCCGCAAACGTCTTTTGGCGTCCCGGCGGCAGCGCGGGCGGGGCGCGGCGTGGGGCGCTGGCTCCCGCGGGTGTCACGTGACGCGTCCCCCGCGGCGCCCCGTTGGAGTCCCTCCCGGCGCTCTGTTGGAGTTCCCCGCGGCCCCCTTGTTGGAGTCCCTCCCGGCGCTTTGTTGGAGTTCCCCGGGGCCCCCCTGTTGGAGTCCCTCGCGCGGCGCCACGGTGGTGGTGTCCCTCGTGGCGCCCTGTCGGAGTCCCTCACGGCACCCTGTTGGTTGGAGCCCTTCGCCGGTGGTCTCTTGTGGACCTTACAGTGTTAGCCTTTATCAGCACTAGGGAACCTACCATCAAGTCCCCGACATTGTAGGCAACCCGTCCACACGAGTGCGTGCGGTGCAGTGGGCAGGGTTTTTCTTTGCCGTCACCTGGCACAGAATTTCTTTTTTCCCGTTCGTTGTCCTGCACCGCACCCCGCGCGACCCAGTGGGAACAAGGGGAGCCGCCGCGGAGCCCTCGGGGCCGGCGGGGGGACCCATGGGGGGACTCGGCCCAGCAGCGCGGCACGGCGGCCGGCGGGGCGGGGCCGGCGGCGCCCTATAAATAGTCCTGTAGATGGGCCGCCCTGCCCAGCCCTGTGGTGTGCATCCTGGTGCCCTGCGCTGCAGGACCTGGTCGCAGGGACCCGCAGGACTGCCTCCTGCAGCAGCAGAGACGAGGCAGGTGGTATAATTGCTCCCACCACTACTGCCCGCCACGCCCCGCGGTGCGACGCCCGGTTTGCACCTGCCCGCCGTTAGACGCCCGCTCCGCC